CGCGGGGAGAGGAGCGGCCACCGCGGGGAGAGGAGCGGCCACGGCGGGGAGAGCAGCGGCCACGGCGGGGAGAGTAGCGGCCACCGTCCGCAGCGTCCGCACAGCGAGGGCGGCCCGAGGCTGGCTGGCCCAGTCGCGGCGGAGGCCCACAGCGGCGCCACCTCCTCCGCCTCCCGGGCCCCCGCCTGTCTTGACCGCCGCGCGGCCAGCGGCCCCGCACTTCCCGGCCTGCCTGCCCTTCCAGTCTGGCGCCAGCAGGCCTTTGAACTGAGCATTCGAAGGCACAAAATTAGCGAAAAACCCCACCTACGTTTTGTAAGTGAGTCACAATTCCTTTACCATTCTGTAGGAAAACCCAATTCCCTTGAGGTTTTGCAGTTACGTTTTAAAACAAGTTCTCAAAACACCACCTGGTCAATCCTGACGAGCCATTTCCAGTGGGATTCTTAAGGAAAGCGGTGGAGAAAGAAAGACCCTACTGGCTGCCTGAGCATCCGTGGGTGTCCAACTGTTGGAGGCACCCTCCCTAAAAATCAAGGCGGGGGGTGGGGGAATACAGGGTCCCAGCCTCCTTTCCAAGGTCAGGTGGCAGCACTGTAAGGCAGGGGCACCCTGAATTATTTAATGGAGCCTGTTGACACAGAAGGCAACGCAGTAAAGAACATTTTAAAATCGAGGTAGATTACGAATGCAGAAAAATAGGTGGGTTTAGAGATTCCATCTCACAATCAAACAGAAGACAGTCACCCTCCAAAGAGCCTTCATGCTCATTTTCCAGTCAGAGGCATGGTTTTTTAAAAAAACAGTATTCCCAAACGGTTCCTGATCATTTTCTTAGAAAGGAAGAAAGAATTTGTGAGTGGGACCACTATATGAACCTGGTGCTTTCTCTAACACTTGGGTCCTTTATTTGCAGCATTGGTCACATTTAAAAATCAAAATTTCTAGCTTTCTAAATGCAGATCTCTGCATTAAAGGTCTAAAAATTAATTTCCAAGTTTTCTTCTTTTAAATGAATGACTGAGGGTAAGGAGAATTTTGCTCAAAACAGAAACTTTCATTTTCTAGAGAATATTCAGTTTAACAATGTAGTATCTTAATGTCTTTGCCAACATTCAACCTGGTATTGCACAACTTATAATGTTAGTCTTCAGGGCATCCAGGAACCTCCAGGGTGAGGGGAGCTTCACTTCTCACTTTACACTCTCTCACACCATTTGAATAGTTTTATAATTTTAAAAGTGTATAAATGTTTTACAAGTATAAGACTTTTTTACAAGTCTGGCAACACTGAGCATCTTCTGTTTTAGCCCAAATAAAACGAATGTGGATCTTTAACTGGGAATATAAATAAAACCTGACATTTAAACTCAATTGCTGGGAGGGAGAATTCAATCAACGGCCCCTCCCAGAAAGGAAATTGTGGCGGATTCAGACGCTCTTTCCCTCCCTTCACCCCCCCCCCCACTTTGACCCTAATCTTCAAGTGATTTGACTCCATCTTTTCATTCCTGGGCTTCAAGATCGGTATTTAGTTCAATCATTCATTTTTCTAAAAGTGATGAAAAGAACAGACTACAAACACTGACCTACTAATGTGAAAACTTTTAAGATGAGTCTACCCAAAGCTTAAAAACTTAGGAAAAGAATGCCCCCTAGCTTAATCACCTAGAAGGAAACTTAAAATGCAGCGCCCACAAGTAGATTAGAATTTCAACTTTTTTCCAATAGGAGACGCCGACTTAAGGCCATCAGGCAATAGCTCCGCCCTCCTCCCCAAATAACAGGTTAGCAATGGAAAAGGCTGCGCTGTGCAAGCCTCTGCCTTGCTCGGTGCCAGCACGCCGGTTCCAACTCGCAGAGAGCAACTCCCACTAGGATTTCTAAAGCCTCTGCCATCTGCTCTTCCTCCAAGACCATAGCTATTACACATACATCTCACGGGTCTCCAGGTAGATGGCTTAAATTAACGACCCTCCCAGCAGAGCCGGCTCCTCGAAATTTTTGGTCCCTTGCTGTATTGGGCTCAGGTAAGTGGAAGGTCTCACACGGTGTAAAGAATTAAGAAAAAAAGGTTTATTCGACAGCCAAAAAAGCGAACTCAAAACCAAAGGCTGCGGTGCAGCCCACGGACCCTGCGCCCCCGGGGTTTGAGCCGCTGCAGAGGAGTCTGGTTTTTCTCCTCGGGAAGTCGAGCCCCGGGCTGAGCAGGGTGGAGACACTTCCCCCACCAGGGAAACCAGTTCCTGTAGGGTATCGAAGTCGGGGCAGGCGTGAGCGGCCCAAGGGGCTCCCAACTCGGTGAGGTCAATGGGCAAGGTACCCCTATTCTGCCTCTCGCAAGCGCGCACGTGGAAACCAGGTCTACAGAGACACACGCACTGCACACCCACACAGCCATCTCCATCCGGGCTCATACCCTACCTTTAAAAGCCCACAATCTACGAGTATGACAAACAAAAATGAGAAAATATGCTCAAAGAGGGCACTCAGTACTCCGGGAGGCCTGTGGTGTGCCTGTACGGGGGGCCACGTCTACACAGATACTCCTTCATCCCGCATCTTTAACAGTTTGCACATTTTGTCAAACAGAGAAATGAGGAAATCAAAATCCATAAAGAAGGGGTGTTCTCAAAAAGAACCATCAAGGGAAAGGGTTCTCGCGCACCGTGACTTGCTTCCCCCCCGCCCCCCCCCAACACACAACCCTAGCTTTTCCCCGCGCATGCAGAGTGAACAGAACGGTTGCCACAATTTGCGATACAGAAAAGAGCGGACTCCGCGTCTTGAAACTCTTCCGCGGCCCCTCGCAACAAGCACACCAAAGCCAGACTTCTGCACACACACTTCCCAGGTAATGACCTCCTTGGTGGCAACAACTGCAAAGTAGGCAAAGGAAAAACAACAAATCCAGAGAGGATCCCGCCACACCCCGCTTTGGGACCGGTCCGGAGGTCCTTGGTGAGCAATCACGCGCGTCCTCCGTGGACACAAGCCCCCGCCCCGCCTCCGCCCCCCAGGAGGCCGCCAGCGCACTCACCTCATCGTCGTGGTGCTGGCAGAAGCCGAGGCGCTCGGGGAACACGGACAGGATGGAGAAGGGCGCGCCAGGGAAGGGCGGTCCGAGACCGAGCTGCTGCGCCGCGGCGGCGGCGGCGGCGGGACCTGGCGGGCCCCGCTCGATGTAGTGGTCCTTAGTGAGGCGCACGCGCTGATGCGCGCGGACGCAGTTGTCGCACAGGTGCTCCTGGCAGTCCAGGCAGCGCGACGAGGCCGCGTTGCCCTCGTCGCAGGAGCTGCAGCCGTGAGGCCGACGCAACAGTAGCGCGGAAGGAGAGGCAGCGGGACCACCGGGCGCAGAGCGGGAAGGCGCGGGTGGTGGCGGCGCGGGCGGGAGTGGCGCCGGGGCCGAGGCGGACGCGCGCGGGTGCGCGTGGTGCGCGTGGTGCCGGTGGTTGCTGTGGCCGCCCGCGCCCGCCGGGGCTCCGGCACGCCCGTTCTTGGGCGGCGGCTCGTCTGCAGTGGCCACCACGGCGTCGAGCAGGTTGCTGAGCAGGAAGGCAGACGAGGGAAGCGCATCCATGCCCGCCGCCTCGGCCAGTACTACTTTCTGGTCACACACGGGACAGCGCAGCTTGAGTGGCTCTCCTGGCGCGCTGCCGCCCGCCGCCGGCAGCCGGTGCGCTTCGAGGCACGGGCGGCAGAAAGCATGCAGGCAGGGCAGGACGTGCAGGCGGCGCGCCGCGGCCCCCGGACCCCCGCCGCCACCACCAGACGACGTGGACGTCTGCGAGGACGACGACGACGCAGACGAGCTGGAGGAGAGCGGCGCCGGGGAGCCGCACATCTCCTTGCACAACAGGCAGATCTGGAAGTCGGTCTCGGGGAACGAAGCCATTTGCAAGCCGACTCGGAGGAGGGAGGAGACCAGAGAGGAAGAGGAGGAGGATATAAGAAAACCGCCGAGGTGGGTGGGGGAGCCGCCGACTCACTCAGAAAAATGCATCGATCGGGCCTGCGATCCGGGGGCCGGCTCCAGAGCGGCACGGCCCGCTTGGCCTCGTCGCGCCCGGCCCGCGCGCTGCCAGCCCCGACGCTGCGGGCATCAAATGCCACTATCTAGAGGCGACACAGATTCCTCCCGGAGGACGCGGAGGCTGCGTGCCTTTCGAAGACGAAGCGCCGGAACAAGTCCCGACAAGCGAGGGGCGAGCGGGGGCAGGGAGGTCAGAGGACTCCCGGGAGCAGCTGGAGCGTCGTTCTCCCTAGCCGAGTAAGTCCCCCAAAGTAGAGTCTGCTGTGCAATCCCAGTCCCGGCGGGTTAAGCAGAATTTGGTTCCGCGAGTATTTGGTGCGTTGCTCTTCTTTCAACAGATTTAGTTAGTCTCTTCTTGCGAGAGGAAACCTCCCCAAACTAGTAAAGGCGGGAGCGGCGCGACGCCAAGCCCGTGTCCCCCCGCGCGACGCCGGCTGCCCCGCCGCATGACGCGGCGGCCAGGGGTTCCTGGGTGGCCCGGCTTGCAGCGCCGGGGGCTTGCGCACGGCCGGGCGCGGCCTCCCCTGCAGGGCGGTCGGCCCCGCCGCAGCTGCAGCTATTGGGGGCCCGGCCGCGGCCGCACGCGTGTAGTACGCACGCGCGTCCCACGCGCCTCGATTCTCCCGCGCGCCGCCTAGCCTGGCCGCGGCTGCCGGCGCTTAACACGCACGCGCGCCCCACGCGGCCCGGGGCCCTCGTGCCCCCGCCTCGCCCGGCCTTGGCGCCTCCCGCGCGCGCTCCTTCTCCTCCGGTTTAGCCGCGTTGCAGCGCGGGGCCGCAGGTCCCCGCGGGCCGTCCTGAATTATTCATCGGCAGGAAGATATTAGATGTACCCGCTGCCCGCTCCGCGCGAGCCGTCGTGCAATGCTATCCGAGCTCCGCGCGCGTCCCGCGCCCCTCCTCCTCACGTCCGTCCTCTCTGAAACCTTGGCAGCGAAGGGGGATCACATTTCCTTTGTCATCGGGCCATTTCGCCCTCGCCTTGGTCCCCCCTCCGATCCCAAGCCGCGGGGACGGAGCCTCCTCTGGGGCGCGCTGGAATCAGTGGAACCGGCAACGGCCCAGCTCGGTGAGCTTGGAAGCCGCGTGGCCAACGCTGCTGGCCCGCGTCATCTTCTTTCTGAAACGAGTCACCGACCAAGACTCGGGTGGCCCCGGCCGCGCTACGCCTACCGGCCTTTGCTCGCGCCGTGCGCTCTGGCCTCCTGGGGCTTTGCACAACTCCCCCAATTCGGGCTGAGTGCGTGCACGCGCGCGCGTGCCCCCTCTTTCTCTGCTTTGCCGCCTCTTCCTCCTTCTTCTCTCCTCTCAGTACGCCGGTTATTGGGACTGATCGGAATTCGGAATCCTTTTAATCTCCAAAGGAGCAAACTCACTTCCGCCCGAGTGCTGGGAGGGGGCTGGGGGAGGGGACACAGGGGAGGGGGTTCCAGGCAAACAGGAAACATTAGCCTTCTCGGCTCGGCTCGCTTTTGTGTGCTCCCTCCCTCCTCCCTCCAACCTCCTCCCTTCTCCATGCCGCTGGGGAGATGAACGCCCCCGGGCTTCGGTGTGACGACCTTTGAAACCTTCCGAGCAAGGAGTGGAGAGCGACTTTTATGTTTATTTAAAAAAGAAAAAATTTCATTTTGAATCCTGGTTCAACCGAGGCTGATATCCCCTGCCAGTGAGGTCTAGGCCCCCCCTTTTTTTTCTTTTTCCTTTTTACGTTTTCTTAAGGAGTCTGCATATCAACACCAAAACACACACTTGTGTGCAACTGGATGCGTGGAATTTAACGAATCCGAATTCCGATCTGCGGAGAAGCCAGTTTCCTTTTGAGTTTAATGGGGGGTGGGGGGCAGAGGGCAGCTGTTCAGGGGAGGCTACCCGGGTGACGGCCCCACGGCCATCTGGGTGGTGTCTGAGGCTGCCTGGGCAGTTCTGGGAGAGGAACTTGCTTGGCCCTGGAAAGAGATTGACTTAGAGGAGCAGAGAGGGCCACATACCAGGCTTCTGAGGGTGTCTGGTCTGAAGGCCAACTGGTGGAACAATTGGCACATCTAACACTGTCAAGCTGTTAGTTACATCGTGGATTCTACTTGTACAGGCAACTACCTGAGTGGATTTCAAAAACCTCTGGTGATAGGAGGAAAAACCCAAACACAAAATAGTTCATACTGTGTGATTCCATTTACAGGAGACTAGAACAGGCCACAACTAAGCTGTGGAGATGTGAAAAGTATCCTTGGGAGTAAGGGGCTTGGACTGGGAATGGGGATGAGGGAACCCTCTTAGGTACTGCAATAGAAGTGTATCATTGGTGTATACATTTGTCAAAACTTGTAAATCTGCCATTTAAGATCTGTGCAAAATTTCACTATGTGTAAATTGTACTTCAATTAAAAACAAAACAAACAAACAAAAAACTTGTTCTCTAGCCTAAATAACCAAAAAGATAAAGGAAAGGAAGAAAAAAAAAATACACAACTATACCATCATCCCCAGCTCCTCCTCTGAATTTGTGCATCAGATTCCAGGAGTTTTCCAGGGAAAGATCAATCTGGAAAGCTCCCAAATCAACCCAGCTGGAAAAACGAGCTGAAGGACTCAGGATGCAGAAACATCTCCCTACAGGGACAAATCCATCCCCAGGTCCAAGAATTGCCCTGAAGAGAGCTTCCAGGTGGAGGAAGAGCCTGGCAGCCGCCCCATGAACACCCGGGTCCTCAGCTGCCCTTGGAAGGCTTCCTCAGCACCTGGAGCGAATCGAAGCTGAGGGAGCATTCACTGAACTGTGCAAAGAGAACAAAAATGTCCCATAAAACCAAAACATATGTTCATTGTATCTCAATAAAATACAAAACAAAGCTCCTTCTCTGCCAATGAAAGAGAAGGAAACCTCTTAGACTTTAAAGATTAGGGAGGAGCTTCTCTTGCTACCATGTACTGCCAAATACGAGTTTCTTCCATAATTTGAGAGTTGTGTGTAAACATGTACATGCTCCCACGTGAATCTACACACTCCTATAGAATTTTCCACCATACTGGCCTAGCTCCAGAGTTGTAGTATTTCTAGGGTTTCTTTTCCTTGCTTTGGTTGTTTTTAATTCTCTCTCTCTCTCTCTCTTTTTTTTTTTTTTTAACAAAAACAAAAGGAAAACAGATGGGGGAAGAGAATTGCCAGAAGGAAGATGGCCCCAGAGGGTCAGAAAAGGCCCCACCCTCCAGCATCTAAAAAAAAGAGGTGCCAAGGCTGGGGTGGGGGGGAGGTGGTGGGGTGTGTGGAACCCTCTACAGTCCTCTTGGTCCTAAGACTCTAGATGGTTTGCAAGTGGATGACCAAGATGAAAAGCCAGCAGAGACATCCTGGAAGAGCAGGAAGGTTTAACTCCAGGAACAGGAATCAAACTTGACAGCGGTTGGTGGGTTTGTTTCCTGGGGACAATCGCTCAGAATAAACCAAAAAGAGAAGAAAAAAGAAAGAGAAGGGAGAAAAAAGGTTTTGATTTCTCGTCATGAAGTAGCTTCCCTTTCTTTCTTTTCTTGAATTGACAGGACATTGCCAGGAAACAGGGCTGCAGTGTAAATTTTTAAAGTAGCACATTCCTAGTTTCCATTAAGTCCATTTACCTAGGCAGGAAAGAGGGTAATCTTTAAAGCAACTGATGAACTCCGCTTGTATAGAAATATAGTTGGGTTTTTTAAATATGGTGTAGTGATACAGAACAACTTAGGATTAGACTTCCTAAGGCTAGAGCTTATCCATCAGAAGAGTAAGAGCCACATATCCAGATGAAAGCCCCAAGACAGTCCGCTGCTGTAAACTAGTATTAAATTTTTCATTGCCACCCTAGCTAATAAACACCCTCTCTTAGCAAGGGTGGAATAAGCAGCCTTCCAGTTTTCTCTCCACTAGGTAACATTAGAAAGGAAGTATAAATACATTCATTCCTAAATCCTGAAAATAAATCATTTGTATTTTAATAACCACTTTTAGAAGAAGCCAGCCCTAAAATTATGTAGAGAGTGAATTTGCATTTTTTTTTTTTTTCAAATTCATCTGTACTCATATTTTGTTTTCAAAGATGACACCAGACTTTGCTGCTCTCTCAGACCTGGGGGTGGGGTGAGGGGGTGGGGTGGCTAGACCACATTTCCATCATCTGCTTTTTTCATCTGGTCCTTTAATTAAATATTTGATGCAGCACGTGTTCTGTTGTCAAAATTGTACCTTTCACCAGCATCCTGAGGGTGCATTTACATAATTTTTAGGTACATAAATCAGCAGAGTATTCTTTTTTAGACATTAAATAAATATTACATCACAATTACTATTTTGAGCCATGAGCAGGCTGGTAACCAGCTTAACAGACGCTCTTGAATCATTGCCTGCATCCTGCCTGTTAGGGGGTGGGGGGTGGAGTTCTACACACCTGGCCAACTCTTGACTCTACCCTGACTCTGGCCTTGAAATCATTTGACAGACGTGCGTCAGCTGTTTTCAACAACCTCAAGTTTCAGCATAGCGGCAAATCAGACGATATAATGTAAGCTCTAATCACCTAGAAAGGTATAGTCTGCAGTAGAGATACTTGAATTGTACATACAAAAGGTAAAAAAAAAATCAGTACGCAGCTTTGGAAGTTAAAGGAAGTGCAGAGCTCAGCCAGGTTTCTGACCCAGCTCCACCACTCTGAGCAAGTTAGGTAAACTCCCTGCACCTCAGATTCCTCATGCTTGTAACTGGTGCAAACGCCTAGTTCATCCAGGATCAAAGCGCTGCTGAATATACTGTGCCTCGTATAGCACCAGTCACATGTAAATGCGCAAGCCCACGTTTAAATCTTAGCTTTGTCACATCATTATTCCGCAGGGAGCCT